ATTTAGCAGTAGCCTGCAGTGCTGCATTTAACCACTGCGCCACCTTGGCTTACAACAGTTCGTTTAGTGACCATTCAAAGTTATACAACGGCACTGAAAAAAGGGACTTATGGACATTTTTCACCCATACAACCATTGTGGCATCTCCAGGGTCAGGCAATCCAAGTTCAGATGATTGACAACTGACTCATATTTATGACAGTTGCAGTTTCCCGGGGTCATGTGCTCACCTTTTACAACCCTCTGACAAGCAAAGTCAATGGGGAAGCTAGATTCACTTAACAACCGTGTTACTAACTTAACAACTGCAGTGATGCACTCATCCACTGTGGCAAGAAAGGTTGTAAAAGGTTGTAAAATTCACTTAACAAATGTCTCGCTTAGCAACAGAAATTTTGGGCTCAATTGTGGTTGTAACTCAAGGATTACCTGTATTTCTCTTTCAATTCCATTTGGAAAGAAAGGAGACTATTGAACTGGGAAAGGGGTTATTGTGAAGGTTGCATTCCCTTGCAAGTAATATTCTTGTGAGATGGATCCATATCCATTATTAACTTTCCCCTTCCCATTTATCACAGTCCGCCCTTTCAGCCATACAATTCTCTTCATACTTACAGAAACCCAGAAAGAAAACTAGAAGCTGTAAACTCAAAGGTGCTTTTTCCAAAAGGCTAACGGACTTTGTTTTTTTCTCTTTTGCTTCTCATCCAAGAAGTTTCTTCAGTTCAGAAGCTTCTTGAATGAGAAGCAGAATATTTTCAAAAGAAAAAAAAACCCTAAGGAAGTCCAGCTGCCTTTTGGAAAAAGCACAACGATGACATGGATTGACAATCTCCATAGACACATCTGTAAGGAAGAAAAGCATAAATGCAAAAGAGAGAGAGAAGGAGTGGTTTGCACCTGTCAATAGTTTGCACCTGTCCATTATGTTTATAGATTCCCTTCAAATTATTGTCTATGGAGATTCTCAGTCATCCACGTGATGGTTGTCCCAAAGGTGGGTTTTCAAAAGGAAACTGGATTTTGTTTCTCCTTGAAGACATTTCGCTTCTCATCCAAGAAACTTCTTCAGTTGTGACTGAATGGTGGGGGATTGTGAAGAATTTACTGCAAGGAATATAAATCCTTCCATCCTCCACCATTAGTCAGAACTGAAGAAGCTTCTTGGATGAGAAGTAAAACATCTCCAAAGAAAAATAAAGTCTAATTGCCTTTTGAAAAAGCACCTTTGGGACCTTGAAATTATTGAAAAGTTCAACATGGTTTATGCCCGTGATGGCAAACTTATGGCATGCGTGCCAGAGGTGGCATGCACAGCCCTCTCTGCTGGAACATGTGCCATTTCTCCAGGTCAGATCTCTCTGGCGTTTCTTTCATGAGCTTCTGTTTCCCTGCAAGCAACAAAACAGAAGCTCACGGAAGAAAAATATCTTACTTCTTGCCGAGCTGCTGGGGTTGGGATGCCCCATCATCTGCTGGCCAGCTGGTCTTTGGGTCTGTATGCATGTCTGTGCATGTGTGCATGTATGTCTGTGCATGTGCATGCTCGCACATGTCCATACATGCACATGTCCATGCATATCCATGCATGCACATGTCCATGAATGTCCCCATGCACACACACACCTTTCAGTTTGGGCATGTGTGCAGTTTGGGCATTCGGTGTCTAAAAGGTTCGCCATCACTGGTTTATGCTGTTAGAGAGCAGCAGTAACTTAACTCATCACTAGAGGGTAGTGTGATGCAAAGGGACTTGAACCATGTTTGTGAGCTGATTCTAGGAAGCCCTGTCCAAAGTCCTGAAATATTCAGCCTCTGCTCGTAGACCTCACAGCATTGTTTTACCCATACCTTTCAACTGAATCATTACATCAGCACCAACGGGGGCTTCCTTCCATGGTGCACTTGATAATACTTTAGTGGATCCAATCAGCATTTGACACCTTAGTCTAACATGAGCAATGTATGAGACTGTTTGCCTAAATCCAGGTCAGCAACCCACTGCTCCTATGATGTAATTTAAAAGAGCAAAATTTCTCCAGACTGAAAGACTCCAGAACATAATCACTGATGTCCTTTGGGAACAGGACCAGACATGCAATCATCAATTTCACAATTCCTATCCCTGCATTTCTCCAACCCCAGCACCTGTACATTATGGAGACTGCCTAGTAACATTAAAAGATGTTCTTGCATATTAAATACCTGCCATTTGAGGACAGATTGGCTTAATGGAGGTAAGAGAAATGAAAGAAATGCAGGCAGGATTCAGATTCTCTCACCCATAATTCCCCCATTTATTTCCCCATCTTTAAATTTTAGTCTTCATCAGCACAGCAGTTATTTTTAATTTTAAAAAATGCCACCTGGGCATTTGTTGATATGGATTTAAAGAGATAGCTTGCTTCCATCCAACAAACATGCTGGAAAATGTATTTCCTAGTTTTCCAGTCTGAAGACTGAACCATTCCTGGTATAAAAAAGGAATACTCTTCCAGCTGCATCCTGATTAACTTGTGAACCTAAGAAGAAGAGTCCTCTGCTTCTAGAATCAGGAAGGCTTCATTCTCTGGAGTGTTTTCTAGAAACTGGACCAAATATGGATTTGGACCTGCCAGGTCTCTGCAATGCATTGCACTGCCAGCACCCAGTTAACAGGATAATATTTATTTCATTTCTTTGCTGTCACAAGCTACAAATACCAAATTTGGTGTCTGGAGTCAAAAGTAATGGATTCTGACAGCTGTGGCTTCCACTTCCCATGAGGCCAGTTTCTTTACCTTGTGAGTCTGGAATTATGGCAGTATTATGGTCATAAATTGAGGCATGACATTTTTGAACTTTTTTTGGTGGTTGTTAAGCAAATGCCATGGTCCTTAAGCAAATGGATTTTCCCGAAAGGGCGTTTTTTTGCCCTTTCTGGGCAAAAAACTGGAAACAAACACTGGAAACCATTAAAAAAACCATTACGAATTATGGTTATATGACCATGAGATGCTAAAATCTCTTTGAAGGTGGGCCAGTTGCCAAGTGCCCCAAATAGGATCATGTGACTGGGTACAGAAATTGTAACTTCAAAACGCATCATAAGTAGCTCTGTGGATGTGTGTTGTAACTTTGGCCATTAAGTGACTGGTCAGAAGTTGAGGACTACCTTTATGCAGATAGGTTGAATAATATATGACCAAACCCAGGTTTCATTTCAGAAGCCACAAGTGGGACTTGTCATATCCACTTCAGTCTCTGATGCAACCAAATAAATAATAAATTATCAGCCTGGGAAGATCAAAGGAGATATGCAACATTCAACTAAAATCTTGGTAGCCTGGAACCAAGCTATCCGTAACAGTGGCCAGCTAGTAGCCCTCATTTTGGGAGGCTTCCAGAACAGCCTACCTTCGTCTATGTTTAAAAATAAACTGTATCCGAACAGGGAAGTTTCATCTACTAAAACTTAAAATCCCATTCTGATCAAATGTTTTCTTTTGTCTATTGCTTTCTTAAGGTATCAATCTAAAATACATTTATGACTCTAAAATGAATTGTCTTTTTTCTTTGATAAGACTGAATGAGCAGTGAATTAGTAATTATAAAAGATAGATAGATAGATAGATAGATAGATAGATAGATAGATAGATAGATAGATAGATAGAGACAGAGACAGAGACAGAGACAGACAAATGGATTTTTTTCCTGAAATATTAATTATTGTTAGAAAAGAGCATTTCTGACAAATTGTTAAATATAAACAAAGTACATAAGAATGTCCAATGTGAATATCTTGACTCAGTTCTTACAATCTGAATTCCTTATCTTTTTTTTTTTTTGCAAAAACCTTAAAAGCTATATTTTATCTTACCTGTTCAAAGAATTCATCCATGAAATGGTCTCGATCCACATGTACCACCTCTTCCTCATCATCACTGTCTTTGGCCTATCCAAAAAAAACAAAATTGATACAGATTAGATCATAATCAGCAACACTGATCCTTGCTCTCTTGCCTGTTTCAAACAGTAATAAATATAGTGGTAGTGTAAATGTTAGGAAATCAAATTCCACTTCTTGGGAGTAACAAGTAAAATCCCATTTTTTCTAGACAGAAAACACAGAAGAAGAATGTTTAAAACTTTGGATCAAATTAGAATATTGTTCTTTCTGGCTTAACGATGTTTACAGCAATTGGCAGATTTCAGTTGTTTTCACTATGTTCCCTGAAAGGAATTAAATTTTAGTGCCCTTATGTGTGAAGAATTTTTGGCTATTATTTCCAATTTTCTTCTTCCCTTTTCTTTAATGTATTTCAAATGTTCACTGTACCTATAAACACCGCTTCAGGAATCTGCTGATTTTTCTAAATTTACCAACATCTTCAGGGTGACTTTATGATTCTTTGCATATACAAAAAGAATGATCCCCTCCCACCCACCCACCCCAAACAATAAAAGTAATGATGCCATGTAAGGATAAATATTGTGGGATAATGGGTTGTTTTAAGATTTTTCCACTGTTGCATAAATCTCATGAAATTTGGGGCATAGTTTTTTTTTTATTCTTTCAAGAAAATGATAGTGCCCACACATCATGTGAAATCACACTAAAGTGTTTGTGACCTGAAAATATTATTATAATTAGCTTTTGCCCCCACATAGCTAAGGCACCCAACCGAAAGACCTAATTTCTGAAAACAAGCATTTTCATGCTTCTTAACAAAAGCTTGTGACATGAAATCTGCCACATTTTAATAGCATAAATCCAAGACAATCCAGACTCCAGTTGGATGCATTAATATGATTGGCAGAGGGAAACCTAGGAAAACAGCCAGGAAATCAAAACACATCCAACTACAAAGGCAGATGGGAATGTACTATATATCCAATAAAAATATTTTTCCAGACAAACTTTGCAATGAGAAAGATAGAAGCTCTGGAGGCAAGCTAGTCATATTTACAAAACAGGGTAGAAATTCACTCATACTAAAACATTCCAAAAGCAGGGAGAAGAGGTTGTTATTATTTGATGTTTTGGGTGCATATTAGTCACGGTTTATTTATGCCTTCCTTTTAATGACAACATGTAGCATAATATTAAGCATAATAATAAATTCTCTGTCATGTTGAGCTCAAATTGAAGAAAGTTGACGCTGAAAAAGTTGGCTATCGCTTTCTGAGAGAATGCTTCGGAACTCCCCAGTCTAGCCTGCATCCCTGGGATCTTCCAGTGGTCTCCCATCCAGGTCCTCATAAAGTTTGACCTGCGTTTTGTTTCCAGAGCAGCCACAGTCATTTGCCATCACAAGAATAAATGCAGTAACTGCCATGTGCAAGAATCATGACCATTGATTAGGTTACAGCACAGAAGATTTACTCAAGCCTATACATAAACAGGGATGTGGTGGCTCAGTGCTAAGATGCTGAGCTTGTCGATCAGAAGCTTGACAGTTCAACAGTTCGCATAACAGAATGAGCTCCTGTTACTTGTCTTAGTTTCTGCCAATCTAGCTGATCGAAAACATGTAAAAAATGCAAATAAAAAAATAGGGACCCCCTTTGGTGGGAAGGTAACAGCGTCTTGTGCACCTTTGCCATTTAGTCATACCGGCCATATGACCATGGAGACATCTTCAGACAGCGCTGGCTCTTCAGCTTTGAAATGGAGATGAGCACTGCCCCCTATAGTCGGGAACGACTAGCACATATGTGCAAGGGGAACCTTTACCTTTTATACATAAGAATCTGGTCAACAAAAGTTTGAAGCTAAATTGGCACCAGATAAAGGTCAATGGAATTCTGGGAGGGTAGAACTTGGAGCACTTGTGGGAACGCAACAATTCTAAGCTGATGTGATGCTTAACTCCCCAACACTGCCTGATCTTCGACAGCAATCGTCAGTACAAGGCAGTAACTGAGCATGTGCAAAACTTTAGATATTTGAGCTTATACATTAAATCCTCCATTTCCTACAAACAAACACACACAAACACACACACGCACACACAAACACCACTAACCCTAGGCAATTTATGTTCTAGAAAATTAAACCTCCTCTGAAGCCTTAAGAGGAAGAATTAGCAGACTTGTCCATAGAGGGGATGGGAGTTGCAAGGAGCACAAAATTTGTATCTCAGCTCCTAAAAATCATCCTTCCTTCGTTCTGTAAGTGAGTAAAACACAGAATCCATGCTTCTTCCTTTCCCTTGTCCTAATCTTCTAACCTTCAAAGCTTCATTTCTCTTCTAGGAAAGGGTTGGGGAAAAGCCACTTAAGAATCCTCCTGGCTGCCTCCATTTTTCCAGCCTGGGATTGAATTCATAGACATGACAAATCCACCACCAGATTTGGGGAGCAGAGGTGTGCAAAGAAAGGCCATAAACCAGAGGTTCCCCTTCACTTAGAGATCACCAAAAGCTGTTCACTGATTGACATTTTAATGAGTTTAAAATGAGAGAAATATTACTGCACAATGGTGATTAGAGAATAATTTTATTAGATAAATTTCAGTATAACAGGTAAGTTGAGGGGGGGGTCAAGATGGTGCCAAAACGATGTGATTAAAGACCCATTTCTTCCCTTGTGCCCATCTGTCGGGATTATAATATTAAGAACTCTGTCTAGGAATCCTAAAATGTTTAATCCTAAAATATCATAAAGCTGCTGGGTTGAAGAAATTCACTTTGAAAGGTTTGTTTCCAGATATAGCCACCAGAGATGGAAATTCACACAACCCTCTGGATTTTATAGAGTGGCAACTGGCAGAGCAGCTGTCACTCTTTAATACTGGAGGAAGAAAGTGGGTGAAAAGGATTATTCAGCATCTACAGATAGTCCTTGGTCCTCCATAGCTTGTTTAGTGACCATTCAAAGTTACAACGGTACTGAAAAAAGTGGCTTATGACATTTTTCACACTTATAACCATTGCAGCATCCTCATGGTCACATGATCAAAATTCAGACGGTTGGCAACTGATTCATATGCATGACCGTTGTAGTGTCTTAGGGTCACCTTAGGGTCCCCTTTTGCGACCTTCTGACAAGCAAAGTCAATGGGGAAATCCAGATTAACCTAACAACCATGTTACTAAATAACTGCAGTGATTCATTAAACAACTATGGCAAGAAAGGTAATAAAATGGGACAAAACTCACTTAGCAAATGTCTCGCTTAGCCAGCTTAGTCTTAAGCTGAGGACTATATGTATTTACTTTCCAATCAAGAATATTGTTCCAATCTAGGCGTCCCAAGGGCATGAAGCAAACTCCTTGTCCCGACAAAAAACCCTTTTATTAATTTATTGTGGGTTCTGCTCATTCACATCCAGCAAAGTCTTTCAAGGAAAGATTTACAGTCACAGACCTTATCTGACTTGGAGAGCGAGTCTCGGAGAGTCATGAACCAATTAAGGAAACTAATTGTCTCCTGCAAACTCCACTCCCCTTTCACTCCTCTTTTATTTCCTCTGGGAGGGGCCATTCATCATCTACCTGTGGCCTTACTCCCAAGTCAAGCTGTTCCCTTCATCTGGCAACTCTGTGCATGTGCACATTGGGAACAGGCTCCATATGTTCTTCTGCCCCACTGATGTCCAACTCCAAAGACAGCTGATAACTGTCAGACGGCCTTGGCTCTGTCTCCGACATAGAGCCCTCATCAGAGCCTTCCCCAAACTCCAGGACTGGGCCATGTTCCTTCCCAACCTCCTAACTGTCTGAATCAAGCAAATATATAGGCTGAGGCTGACCAAAATAAAATAAAGATCTTCAGGTGATAGCCACATTTTTCATTAGTCAGCATTTTCTCCTTGTCCACCAGTGTTTGGCACTTAAAAAATATTAGAATCCTCACAGGTCCTTTGGGTGAAATAACTGACAAGGAACTTTGAAATTTACTGCGATGGGCAGCAGCAAGATATTGCTATATGACAAATGGCTTTCATTTACTATTTGCTTTATTAGCCTTATTTTATTTTTATTTGCTTTATTCCGCCTCCCAGAGTGATCTTGTAAAACCCAGGAAAGCCACCTTCAACGCCAAAGGTTGCCGCATCCTATGCCAGCAAGCCCCGCCTCCCCCAAACATTCCCAACTCTTGATCCCCTCCATTTGCATATGAGAATTCTACTGCAAGCCTATTGGCTTCTCCAATTATTTTTCTGCCAAACCAGATGAGTGGCTGCCTCATTCACGATGGCTATTCTCCAAATCTCTTTGCATTCGCTCTTTATGTTATTTTTGGCTGGTTCCGGTAATTAAGCTACCTTTAAGTCTGGGTCCCTGACATCTTTCTATTCTCGAAAGTTATTGGTTGCTTCGCTGGCTACTTTGCATCATGGCCTGAAAGGCAAGACAGGCCAAGGTCATCTTATGGAACATATGAGTAACCCTATCTGGTCAGACAAACAGACCATCCATCTCTGACAGTGGCCGTCAGAAGCAGCCAGAGGGAGGGAGTACTTATGAGTCTATCTACTGTCAATCAGTTAGTGAATGTTGGCAGTCTAAGAGCTTGAGAACACTCTGCTCACAATGCTATCTCTCTCCGGTTTTCAAGGATTCAAGGAATGCTGCTGAGAAAAGCTACCGGAATGACCAAACGGAATCTGATTATATACCGAAACGTGTTTCTGCCAGGAAGGATAGGCGTGAAGTCTTCCCCTTGAGGATGAGATACAATTTGCTGATGATGCAGAGAAGGGAGCTGTATCTCTTTCATTTAAGGATCCAGCTTTGGGTGCTAACTGCAGATAATAGAAATAGATTTGAGTCCCTCATTGCATCTCACTTCTCAGCAGTATTTCCCATCAGGCTACTCAAGCGTTCCTTCGGATAGTCTAGAGGGGGCTAAGACCCACTCGTCTGGAACGATTGTCTAGGGGAAAATGCTTCCCTGGATGTGAATGGTTTCAAACATAGATGGGAATAGATCTGAGTCAATTAGGTT